TTTTATAAGAATCTCTTAACTAATTAGTAATAAAAGACTAGTTATCCTTTTTCTTCTTCTTCCTTAGATTATATATATTTTCTCTATAATCTATTAAAGTGTTATTTCTATAGCTTAACTTATATATATATTATATTAAGTATTAAGGAGCAGATTATATACTTTAGCTATATATTTAATTTAGTTTAAAATAACTACTTTTAGGATCTTTTCTATAATATTAAGAAGAACTATTAATCTATATATTTCTAGGTTTATATAATTGCTTTTTCCTAGTTTCTTAAGTATTACTATATATATTATTTTATAGTAGTAGTAGTAGTATAATCTTGTTTATTATCTAATGCAGCTCTTAATAAGGCTATATAGACTTAAAGGATTTTGCCCTTAGTTAGCTAAGTATGCGCTTCTGTGTCATGTGTTCTATCATACAAACTTTAAACTGCTTGCTTCCACCAAAATTGACCGGTCTACCCCCCTGAGCGCCCTGTTTCCCTCAGGTCTTCCCCCTTATTTGATTTGTCGTTCAAGGCCCTATGTACAATATCAGGTTTTCACTTCCTTGCCAAACTCCATATAGACAACATACAAGCTTTGCAATACTAAACTCTAACTAAGGGTTGTGGCAGAAAAAGTTGGCGGTTGAGGTGGGATTCGAACCCACGCACGTACCATGAAAAACCTGCACCTTTTTACAGGAAAATGGTTGTGCTTCAGTCACGCGTTACTGCCACTCCGCTATGACCCCAATCTATATTATTTTATAATAATCTAGTTAAACTTCTTAGTCTAAGTATACTTAAAAGAAACGCTTAACTAAGGTTATCTTTTCTTATATAACTAATTAGATTACTTAATTCAAAAGTTTATTTAGTTCTAAAGCGTTATTCTTTATTATATAGTTTATTACTTTAAGGATCTCTTTCTTTATAATCTCTTCTTATTAAGAGATTTCTAAAGGGTAATAAAAGTTTTCTAGATTACTTAAATTAATCTTTAGGAGAAGAGAAAAGCTTATGTCTTATAGTAGTTTTGCTTTAGACTTTGTATTCTTTACTTTATATAAGCCTTGCTTAAGAATTAAGAGTAAGACTTATATAGTTTGGTTCTGGGATTATTATTTTACTTATTATATAATCTTCTAGATACTATTTAGCTTAGAGCTAGCTTTTTATATTATACTTCAGAATTCGTTCTTTTTATAATAGCTTAAAACTAAAACAAGTTAATAGTCTATAGATTGCTAAAACGTAAGCTAAGGAGTCTATCTATAGTGCGGCCAGCGCTCTACTCTATATACTCTTCTATTGAACACAAGGGGTGCTACTAGTTAATCTGCGCGGAGGATCTGACAAAGTATCTGTAGGGCCAGAAGCGATAGCTTCCCTCTAGAGGAGATTGTACTTTCCTAAAGGGGTTATATTAATCTCCGGTTCCATAGTACTTGTATAAGGAGCCACATGTTGTACGGATGCCTTTATCAGCGGCATAGTAGCTTGACGGCAAGAGTTCTGTATGCCGTTATAGATACGCTATCAGCGCTACTATCTGAGTGCGTGGCTAGTCCTATGTATTTTCTGCGCTATAGCAAAGGAGATACTTTATTTATTACACTATCCCCTCCCTCTGAAAAATTAATTACTCTTAATTAAAAGTATAAGAAAGTAAGCTTACTCCTCCTAAATTCTGTTGCTAAGTCTAGCAACTTCCTAATTAGGTTAGTCTAAAATTTGGCTATATATATATAACTAAATTTATTATATAATATTTCTATTAGATTTTCTTATACTTAGCTTTAATTTAACTAATTAGGTGCTTTTTTTATTAAGTATCTTTTAAAATAGTCTCTAAATAAGTCCTCAGAGTCTTTAAAGTTTGTGATAAAGGAGTAGATTAAGTCCTCTGGCTAATCTACTTACTTGGCTTGCACCTTCAAGGCCTTGCCTACTTGCTTAATATTAACTATATTCTTAACCTCTCATGCCTCCTCTTCTTTTGTTTCTACTAGCAAAGGCTGTAGATATTCTTAGCCTGGCAGAGGGTCAGCAGGGTCTTTAGTAAGTAGTAATATATGGAATACGTTGTGAATCCGTATTAATAAGGGTAGCTTTAGACGAAAACTCTGCCTAAGTCTCTTTATAACAGGGAATAGTCTAATTCATTTCGAATCTAGCTTCTTATAAGGTCTTGTTATATTAATATTCTTTGTTAATAGCCAGACCTTGTCTCCTTCTTTAAAATTAATTTCCTAGTAGTGCTTATTCGTCTGCTTTTACTATTACTCTTATATAATCTTTAAGTACTTT